GTGGTTTGCCTCCATGGAGAGCCACAGTCAGTGATGGCTGCAACTAGTGACATGATTGTCATGGAACCTTGCAGGGTACCACTGATTACTTTATTGGTCATCACTTCCCAGTGAGGAAATTACAGATGTTGCCTCTTAACACATCCTTTGCAGTTTGCGCTTGCAGAGTGCTTCTAAATTGTCAGAGAGGAGGGGGGGTGAGTGGGGACTAAATGAAAAGGTAAAAGGGTTAAGCAAGAAAATATATATAACACATAGATACAGACAACAGTGTGGTGATAGCCAGAGAGAAAGGAGGATGGAGGGTAATCAGAGATAGGCAAAGAGGGTTGGGGAGTGGGGGGCGGGAATGGAGACTTTGCTTGGGAAATGGGCACACAATACAGTGTGCGGGTGACATTTTATTGAGTTGTACACTTGAAACCTATATCTGAATAACTTAGAAAAATTAACTTGTGCCCACAAAGAAATTATTATTTGTGCTATTCTTAGCAGGAAGCAAGGAAACAGCAGCGGCAAGACCACTTGTATCCACTCTACCTAGCTATGTGTGATTATTAGAAAGATTATTTCTACAGTACTATATTGAAAGATTGTGGTTAATATTTAACCTACATTTGTAATCAAAATCTAACATTTGCAACCATGATAAATAGGTGATAAGTACATAATTGGATACATACATGCATACATACATACATAATAGGTAGATAGATGATTGATAGATAGATAGATAGATAGATAGATAGATAGATAGATAGATAGACAGACAGAGAGATAGATAGACAGATAGGAGTTAGTACTTCTCTCCTAACAGGGAACATTGTAGAGGAACCAAGTTTTTAACAAGGTTGTTAAGATTAATTACAGATCACCTTCAACTTAAAACCAGACAGGAGGGAGTGTTAGTGAGGATGAGATTGGTGATAACAGTAATGACAATAACTAACATTTATCCAGGCCTTGTTTTATATCTGGAACTGTGCTAAGCTTTTTTAAAGTTTATCTTTATTGTTGACAGCATTACAGATGTCCCTCTTTTTCACCCCACTGACCTCCTCCACCTTGCTCCCAACCTCCCCTCATAACTTCACCACACTATTGTCTGTGTCCATGGGGTATGCATATGCTCTTTGTTTGATCTCCTTCCACCTCCTCTCTTCCCTCTGAGATTTGTTATTCTGTTCCATGCTTTCTGTCTCTGGATCTATTTTGTTCGTCAGTTTATTGTGTTCATTAGATTCCACATATAAGTGAGATTATGATACCTATCTTTCTCTGACTGTTTTATTTCAATTACCGTATTTTTCGGACCATAAGACACACCGGACCATAAGACGCACCAGTTTTTAGAGAAGGGAAATGAAGAAAAAAAGATTCTGAAACAAAAAGTTCAGTGTTACCACTACAATGTGTAAACCCATAAATCATGCAGAGACTTTCTATGCTTTCTTTGCATAGTTTATGGGTATCTACACATTGTAGTGGTGAGAGAAGAGGCTGGAGAGTGTTTTACATTATGGTAAATGTTATTGGTTTGGTATCACAGAAAGTCTCTGCATACAATATACCGGTATGAAGTTTGTTGCAGTACAAACATTTTGACAGTTACCGGTATAATAGTATGAAGAGAAATTCTGACGTAGCGGCGTTATCAATCAGGGCATCCAGCGGAGGGCGGAGTTTACTGGTGGGCGGAGATCTACAGTACGCCTCCCCAGTAGTCAAGCACAGCAACAGAGGGCGGAGAGGAATGATTGGGGGAATAGACGCGGCATTCTTCCGGGCACGGAGTACGGGCCAGCAAGGGGTACAGGCGATGATTACGGTTTGGATTACGCAGTTACCGTACACCGCACCTGGGCTGACATGGAGATATGGCTGCAGCGAGGGCATGGAGGCTGACTACCATACATGGGAACTCCTCTACCACTCGGGGTTTACAGAGCGGGGCAGACACTCAGGGCACGGAGGAATGGACAATGGCTGCAGCAAGCACACAGAGCCGGGCAAGCACACAGAGACCACACAGAGCCGGGCAAGTAAAAAAACTTTTTTTAAAAGTATATGTGTAGGCTATATTTGGACCATAAGACGCAGGGACTTTTCCCCCCCACTTCTGGGGGGAAAAAAGTGCGTCTTATGGTCCGAAAAATACAGTAGTATAATAGTCTCCAATGTTAAGGTTTTTGAATGTATTCCCTTAATTCTTTTAACAATCTCATTGTTCCTGTGCATAAGGAGAAATTGTACGGAAAAAGATTAAGTATTTGCTCAAGTTTTGTAGCTGTATGTGCTGGAACTGAGGGTAGAAAAAAGGGCAAGCATTACTTCAGAGCTTTTCTGTTTACTTTGTGCATCTAAAATGTGCAAGGAGACCTAAATGTCACCTACACAGTCTCCCTCAGCCTTTTATCCCATCTTCCCCCAATGGCCAACACATTTTATGACCAAACACCCTCCACCACTCTCAGTGTATAGAATAGACTTCTTTGAAAAGTGTTTTTGTTTTTTCCCCCAGTAGTTCCCAGGATTGTTCAAACATGAATTAGACCACTTATTTCCAACTATTCTTTTCAACCAGACCACAGCATGGTTGGCTAGGGGTCTTAAACTAATTCAGATTGCTCTGTGGTATGTTTGAAATAACTATGATTATTGTTTGCCCAGATGTGGCTACTGCGGTCGCACACACACAAATTATTTTGCAGAGGCACAATCAAGTAATATCAGTGAAAGCCAACTGCTCTGTTTGGCCCTCTGCACCTCCAACACCACCCCCGTGGCATGTCTGCAGTTGAACACCAGTGGGCTGCAACAGTGACTCGCAGCCTTGTTTGATTACATATCCCTATTAGCTGGAAAGGTGTGTGTATTTCTTGATTTACAAATTATTTAACAATCGTAAGCACTATTGAAAGCTTACTATATGCCAAGCTCTGTTCTAAGTGTGTAAATGTGACTTACAACACTTCACAGCAGCTCTGTGAAGTAGGTATTATTATTATTAACATCATTGAAAGATGAGGAAATTGAGACATTAAGTGTTTAAAAATGTGCCCTACTTAAAAAGTGTAGCTAGCAGGCGACTGGTCAAGCTTGAAGCCAGGTGGTCTCATGGACCATGGCTATCACAACTGCCTCTATGTGTGTTACTCTCCTGATACATTATATTCTTTATGGGGTGTATGAAAACTAGACATTGTAAAAGAATGAGATACACATTGGTTAACAATTTGCTGAACAAAAGGATAAAATATTTCTCTGGGATGAGCAATGTAAGGATCTCAAGCCTCCTTTTTTATTTATAAAAAAATAACATTGGACAAGGAAGCTTTCCTTAGTCACATTCGAAGGTAAACATACCTTAAAACTTACTGCATATTCTCTACCTAATGAGGAGCAGAAAGCTCAACAAGTAACCAAGTGCCTTGTGTACATACCATTGACAACAGAAATTATGCAAGTCTAAAATAACCCTCCCTTTGACTGACTGGTGTATTAAACTACGGTTTGAAAATGATCCCTACTGTTTGTCCAAGTTCGGTCACTAAGGTGGTCGACACCTGCTCACAATGTCTGTGTAGGGAGTTTGCAGGGGCTACGCCTGGTTGAAATAGGGTACCAGGAGCTCTGGGGCTTGTTGATAAGTTAGCTTTGCGTGGCACTTTCCATAAGACTGACCCAATACCCATCTCCTGCCTTCAACCATGGAGGAGCTGATGGAGCTCAAACCATGACAACTGAGCATGATTGAAATTCGGAATACTCTTGAGTACTGATGAAATATGCCATAGAGAAGAATTTTTATTTTCAACATATATCAGTATGGCATATTTTATTTTTTTATTTTTTTATTTTTTTAATCCACAACACAGAATATTTTTCCCCATTGATTTTTATTTTTTATTTTTTTATTTTATTTTATTTTATTTTTTAGAGAGAAAAACTGGAAGGGAAGGAAGCGGCGGGTGCGGGGGACACAAGGGGGAAGAGAAGCATTGATGTGAGAGACACATTAATCAGTTGCCTCCTACACACACCCTAACAGGGGACAGGGTCAGGGATGGAAATTGATTCTGCAACCCAGATACACATCCTTGACCAGGAATCGAACTACAACCCTTTGGTTCCTAGCCTGATGCTCCAACCACTGAGCTACACCAGCTAGGATACTTTTTATTTGCCATAATTGTAGCTGCTTTTAAGCCAATTATAAGTGCCCATTTTTACTTACACAGGAAATACACAACCTGGAAATGTAGAATATTTTATTGTTTAAGGTGTCACTCTGCAAAGATGGATCTCTTTTAAGCTTTGGAGTCCATAGAAGATAGATCTTTAAGTAAGATGAGCAGGAGACCGTGAAATTTACGAGCTGAAGGGGTAAGAAGTACGCTGAGTCAGGTTTTGTTAAACTAATCTTACGGCTGCCGAGGATGACATGTCAGATATTTCATTCATTTTAAATACCAACCCATTTCTATAAATCTTTTTTATAATGTTAAATACATTAAACAGGTACGAGATCAGCAGAGAGTGTGCTTAAATGTGTCAGACACATTCTTTTGCTTCACTACATACTGTTTCTCTTTCATTTGCCAAAGAGGTACTTATCAGACTATTCATATGGGCTGATCCATGTTTTAGTTTTATTCATGGAGTTTTGTTTATTGCTGCTATTATGCTTATTTGCTTCTTCCTTGCACATTCAGATTCACACCATGTGAAATATCATCCGAGTGTCTCTCCCTCCTCTCTTGCACCAAAAGCAAAAGAAATCTCCTTTTGTAATAACATTTGTCAATGAGAAATACATTTGTCAGTGAGAAAAAAATATGCAGGGTGTATTTAGGGCTCTTTAGCATAAAACTTCCATCTGAAGCTTTATTGTATAAGATAATGTGTTCTACTTCAGGATGTTTAAGGTTGAGTTTCTTTACTGTGTGAATGCTATTCTATTTTCTTTCCTCCCCTTATACCCCCTCCCTGTTTAACAGCAGACAAACCCAGGGAGCCCTGAATGAATCCGATGATCCTGAAACAGGCTGTCTATCTGATAACAAGCCAACTTCTCGACACTTCTATCCTGTCGCCTTGCTGCTTGTCAGCTCACACCTGCTAGTCGTGTGGCTTATTTTAAGTCTCGCATTATTATTAGCCAAATACCAATAACTTTTACTGTTGTGTTCCTTCCTTTTCTACAAATTATAATGGACTTTAAATTATGGGAACAATGCTGTAATATTTCTACATTTTAAGATCCAGAGAATTTAAAACAGATGTTTGAATTGTGTTTCCTTTGTTGTTGTTTTTTCCTAAAATCTAAAAGAAGTACTATGCATTAAGTGAATTATTTTGCTCTTTTGTTCATGGAGAAGTGTTTCCCTCTGTTCACTCGCCCAAGAAGAATTTTTAAATTACTGTCTTTGGAATAAGACAAAGAACAGAATCCTGAAAGCTTGAAGGTCTACACCTCCTGTTCCTCTTCCCGTTAAACGTATCAAAGAAATTAAGACTGAATTTGCACAACACACTGAAACTCTGAGACAAGTCCTAGACATGTGGGAGGTTCCAGATGTTATTTCCACTGTGCTAAAACCATTGCTGTCAGCTGGCAGAACCTTCTGTTTGGTTTCTTAACCTGTTCGTTTTGTCATTTCTTTGCTGCCATTAACCCCCTTCTGTCAAGTAACCCTATGAAGAGAATGGCTATTTCTGTTTTGTAATGAAATTAACCTGTTTGTAACTATGGTTTGGGTTGATGTGGCTTGGAGAGTACTTTCCGATTCTTTTTAACAAGGTCTTGTCTGTGTCTTGATGCCCCGTTTCCGCACCTGTGACTGTACTGTCTGTGCATAGCACTTCTCCTCTATAAAGTGGAGACTCGGACCAGGCTGTTCCAGAAGCCATTTTTTTCTCGTCATTGCACAGTTAAAATAATGAAGTAAAATAGAGATTGAACTTTCCTTTAAAAATCTATAGGGCCAGACTTAATCAATTAAATGCCTTATTCCTAGAACCTGTATCCTTAGGGCTACATATAGATTTTAATGTGTTTTAAAGAAATTAATTTGTGGAAGAGTTATTAAAAAGGCAGATATATTTATGAGATTAGAGTGAAGCTGTATTGTGGAGCAAATTATATTTAAAGAGTTTATTAAACCTTAAATACCTGTTAAGAGCAAAGAGACTTGAATCATCTCTTTTCTGAGGGCAATAATGGTATTGGGCCTGGCCTAGGATTTAATTTTGTAAGATGTATCATCATTTGTGAAAAACGAACAAAAAACAAATGTAGAGTTGAATCTTTGTTATTTTTACTTGGACTGTTGCTGCAACTCTGCATTGAACAAATAAAGCATATTTATTTATTCTGTTTCATGAAGTTGTACTTTTTCCCCTTTTACCAGAGAAGGATGCCGCATAGAGAATGTACTGAAGAATATCAAATGCAGAAAGTATGCTTTCAACATGCTACAGCTGATGGCTTTCCCCAAGTACTACAGACCTCCAGAGGGGACTTATGGAAAAGCTGACACCTAAGTTTTCCAACATGTAAATAAACAGGAACACAAATACGCTTCAGTTGGATGCTCTCTACTTTTTCATTTTTCTTCTATTCTCGTGAATTTGTGGAGGGCGATCATCAGGGATGTTTGCCCAAGTCTAGGAATTACTTGAATCAGTTATCCGCCTATTACTCTGAAAGAAATTAGTTTTTTAGAAATCTTAAATAATATTGTCTTTCCTAGTTCCAAGCTTCTGTGTGTTGACTCTTGCTGATTGAGATCAGCTCAGAACGTGTGCATTTCATTCATGGAGTATTTAATGAAAGACATTCTGAGATAACAGGTGCCATGGGGGACTAGCGGTGACTCAGAGAGCAGTGCTGTCCCTCCAAAATGAAGCCAGGAGAGTGTGAAAGGGAGAGGGACTTTGTGAAATGACCCAGGTTTTCTCACACATACTCTGAGAGCCCATTTCAGAGGTTTAAAAAATACTTTTTTAGTGATTTAAAATTAGGTAGCGTTAACTCATGATCCTGGTCGCAGAACAATTTACAGGTATGCCTGTACCTTGTACTTTGTCACCCAGCCGAGATGCGACTATTCCTCCTAAACAGGTGGATGGACAGTGTTAGTAAAGCAGTGAAAATACTTTCCAAAAGCATGGTATCTTTTCAAAGTTCTGGCTTGGGTTTTTACGGCCCTGTTGTAAAAGTGGCACGAGAGGAAGTTTAATCAGATTATGGGCAAAATACCACAAGAAACAGAAACTGAAAAGAAACTAAAGTTGGTCAGCCTGTTGATGTCCAAAGTGAAAATTCCCATTGGCCTGAACTTTATGTGGTCAAGTTCATGACACTCAAGAAAATATTTCTGAGATGTTTTCCAGTGGTCATTTTGGTGCAGAATATAGATGGTGTAAGTATGCATTGCCTTGCATAGAATAATATATGTAAATAAATCTTCTAACATGTATACAACTATGACTTATTGATAAACCAAAGAAATTACTTCTGTTAACCTGAATTTCAAATTTGGTCTTACTCAGTAAAATAACACCATAAATTGTCTAAAATTTAAATTAGAATCTGCTTTAGAGATCATTTTGTATAACACCTTCATAAATGGGTAAATTAAAGCACAGGAAAGATATACCCCCAATCACTCAGCTAGATAATTTTAGAACCATGATTACAATCTCTTCTTACAGTCCTTCCCTGTGGCTTATCTCTTCTCCAAATTGCCATGCCAAATACTCATGAAAACTATAAGTGAATTCTAGTTAGTTAAATAGAAATTGACATCTATTAGTGGAATTAAAATGTAGATTGCAACACTCTGAATAAATGAAACCTATTTTCTTTAAATTTTAAGAATTTATTATTTTTCCTTTTTCATCAGAGGAGCATGACATTGATAGCATAAATCACCTTCAGAAATGCCACAGGCTTGTTACATAGACATCTCTTAGTTAGGACCACATTCATTGATGATATTGTGGGGTTTTCATAGCTAATGTGATAGCTCCTTGACCAAGACACTAATTGAAATAAGGATTCGAAACAGATCTCTAGGCTCCTAGGTTTTTCAAATTAATAAAAAAATTTTAGAACATTCTTTGGGGCTTTTTAATACTAGAATTATAGATCTATCATTTTAACTAATGGCTCTGGGCGTCATATATAAGGCGGTTGTCAAACTACTTACAGCCTTTTTAATAAAAAGAGGCTGTGTGCTGTGGATCCATTCATGGATAAACTTATCTTAGTGTTATTTTCTTATACCTTATTCTCTATTTCAGGGATTACATATAATCTTTGACTTACTCAGTTTCATTTGAAAATGGTAGGGTTTGTGGTTATTTTCATTGTCCCATTGGATGTAAAGTAAAAGTTTAGAAGAGAGGTTTCTTTGAATCCTCCTTCAGTAGTAGTAGTAGTGGTAGTTTAAGAGACTGACTTATCATCCTATAAATACTCTTATAACAAGAATTTTTATTTGCATTTGTAAAAATGAAAACTCTTGACTCAAGTATGGTAAACATATGTAACTACAATAGGGTTTGTTTTTTGGTTTTTGGGTTTTTTTGGGGGGGGGGGGAGGGAACATTTCAAGTATTTTCTCCTTTTATAATAAGTAATAATATAGATGTTTCAAAGTGTAGAAGTTACTGTACTACAAATGCAGATGAGTTTTTGTTTATTATTAACATAGTCATCTGAATTTCCCTACAGGAAGCCAATATTTGTACATACTTTTAAACATGGATTTTATCAAGGAAAATCATGTTTCATACCAACAACAATATTGTCCCTTTTCTAATATATATCCCAAGTATCCTTCAAAAACAACTTCATTATTTCTTAAATTATTAAGATTTTCTAAATCAAAGAGCCAAGGTTAAACAAAAAGGTTTAAAATCTCCTTTGTACAGACATAGCCTCAGTCATCCTTTTCTATCTACATTTTCACTTAAAGATGAATATAGTAGCAGGCTGATTTTAGGAGATCATGTCAAGCTAGAAAATGAACCAAGAGATCATGTCAAGCCAGAAAATGAACCAAGAAAATGAAATTTTCAAACAAGATAAAATTTTGCTCAGAAATATTTCCCCTATAATATAATCAAATTTAGATATCAATTTCTTATTCACTATTGACAAAGTCCTACAGAAAACATAGTTAAAAACAAGGGAAGGTAAAAATCCCGATTATGTTGATCTAGTGACAAAAGATCCAGGGCCTGGAAGTGTTCCACAGAGCAGTTGATCATAAAAGTTTGAAGTATTGTTTTGATTCAGCCCCACCCTTAAGGGAACCCACTCATTTGTTTCTCATGTGGTTCTTTGGTTCTTGTAAAAATTGCCATGAGTGTTTCTAGAGTCTGCCAAATCCTTTGATATAAATATTTTGGTCAGTCTGGGTGTCTGGTGAATCAGAATGCTTGATTCTTTGATGCAGCTGACAAATTATACTGAAATGACCAAATGCCCAGTTGCAGCACTATGCCACATGACTAACTGCCAGTGCTTACTTTCTCAGGGTAACTGTGAAGTCTTGAAAAGCTAGCACCTGCATGGAGGATACTTCCTTTCTTTCCCTCAATTCAAATGACATTTTGCATAAAATAAGACTCAAGATGGAAAAGAAAAAGATTTGTAGACTGGTAATTTTCTTCCCAGGCAGATTAAACCCCTTCCTATGTAAGTTTGGCATGTGCTCAGAGGAGGCTGCCCCAGTGGTTGTGCTGGAACTGGCTTGTGCTGACTCATGACAGTGGATCATTAAATTTTCAGGAATTTTATGTTAGCTGTTAAAAACAACCATTGTTAAATATTAAATTATTTAAAAATGAAATAAATTTTATTATAAACAAAGTAATAGTCAAAACTACCACTTCCTAATTATTTTATTACTAGTGGCCCGGTGCACAAAATTTGTTCACTTGGGGCATGATGGGGGAGCCCCGGGAAGCCCTCAGCTTGGCCTGTGCCCTATCACCATGTGGGGGCCCCACGATCCATTGCCCCAAAGAGGTAGGCCCCACCCACTCATCCAGGGCTCCTCGATGGATTGCCACAAAGAGGTAGGCCAGAGCTGGGGGAGACCTGCAGACCCCAGGCCATGGCAAAGGCCTGAGGACCCAGGGGGACAGGGCTGCAGTCGAGGCCTCTGACCCACATGCCTGTGCCAGGTTAGGCAGGTGTCTGGAGAAAGAGAGGCCTCTGCCGCAGCCCCACCTCTGTCCCCCATGCTGCAAGGCTCCACCCAGCTTGCTGATCAGTTGTTACTGTAATGGTATCCTGGCCAATTTGCATATTACCCTATTATTAGATAATTTTCAATTTATCTCTACTCTTGAGGCTAGGTCAATTGTACCTGTAGTTGAAATGCTATACAGTATCATAGAGATCTACTGTGCACCTCCTCCTGGCTCCATGTTCCATAACATCACATCAGGAGCTTGAAATTGACCACAGTGGGAGTATTTACCCCAAAGAAATCTCCAAAGGGTACAAATCATGGCCTTTGGTTCCTTGAAATCCGATGTTAAAAATATACTGGCACACAACTGAATGCCACCATCCCTTTTTCTCTGGAAAATGAATAATTGGAAACAGGATAACATTATTAAAATGATATTAAATGCAATCATTCATCTTCAGATGGCTGCAATTTTGTTTTAGTTTTTAACCCCTCTGAAGACAATGATTGGGGTCTCAGTAACATTTGACATTTATATTTTATTCATAATTAAAATGTTTCATCAGGGAAGTGTGTTTAAAACATATCCCTCTATAGTGTTTGGCAAGGGAAATCTTGGCAATGTAGCCTCAGTGTGAGCAAGAAGAACTGCAGGCTAAATTCAGGGAAAGGCTAGCCTAATTAGAGTATCAGTGAAAATGTGCTTCCGCACCAATTTTTAAGTTTATAATTTTAGCATTTGCTAAAATCAGGAAAAAATAGTGGCACATTACTGTGCCCAGATTCTAATAAACACCGCTCAACTGAAACCCAAACTGCTGATTTAACTCTGGCATGATGCTAAGTCACCACAGATGTTTTAGGTGTTTGATTTCCAAATAGGATGGTATATCAATTGTTAAGTTCTATATTCAGGGCGCCTTGTGTAACCCCGTAGGAAATCTATTAACTTTTATCATAGATTTAAGAAACTGATCTGAGACAAGCTGTGATCAGCAATTCCAAGGGAAGCAAACTTATTGAACCTACATTGTCCTTAAGAGCTGGAGGCTTTACAAATTATACACTACTGAAGAGAATGATTTGCTCAGAATGGATTGAAAATTCTAGTGTGAATTCGTGTTCATTTAGCCCACCTATAATCTTCAAAGTCTATGCTT